GACACATTCATCAAAAATTAGAGTTGTACTGTGTGTTCAAGCTCAGAGGAAGGTAAAATGTTAACAGCGCATCCTGGTTTAGTTTCGGCTGACGGGAATAATCTGACAACATTATCATGTTCTTGAACTTGTAATGTTTTTGTTTTTTCCATATTTAGTATATATTAATATAAATGGTCATGAATAAGTTGTTTTCGCATATCTAGTCAATAAGTCGTTCGAAAAGGTACAAGAACTACATAAGAGATGATTCGAGAAGTGAATGTTAATTTTCTCAAGGTGGCATTCAGTACTCGGCTAATGGATGCAAATATGAGTCAGAAACCTTACTTTTATGACGGATGCCACTGTACAAATACTACCAGCTAACACGATGACTGCACCCATTAGAATCCACTCTATGGTCGTGTAGTTATAATTTTCATGACGACACTCCTAGACAAACGGCAAATTTTTGAAAGGTCAAGTTAGAATTTGATTTCATTGTTTTTTTTTTAAATTTTACACGAACGGCTTCACAACTACTGTGCAGATCCCAGTTCTTCTTGCATTCGATTCGTTCCCTCGCATCCATCATCCGCAAAAATTTTCGAACTTTTCATGTGTGGGTTCTACTGTTGCTTGGGGGATTTCATTACTGCTATGATTGTTTTTGAATGCTGGTAAAGTCGACTCTCTCTGGAATCCTAGGATACCCTGGCTACAGCATTTCCACTTAGAATGCAGAGAATGAACTTCTCCCAGAGAAGTTTGGTACCAATTTCCTGATCCTGTAGGGATGACAGAGTTGTCGATTTCGAGGCGAGAGTCGGACCGGCACCGTCTTCCTTAACGATCGGCATCACTATTACTGCGCTACCCGGTCCCGTTTTCCTTGTTGGCTCAGGAAAGTTCTCTTTTGTGAAAAACAATCATACATATGGTTAAATAATATAGGATAAAGGTCTCGGAGTTAATCAATCCATGATAGACATATCACTTATTCTACTTCATCAAACATCGTTAGAGGTGATTGAATGCATATCTGGCCTATACAATGACTCACGGAGGTCTACCGATGTATCGAGTCAGATCCCGGAGGGATAGAAGGCTTGATGAGCTTGCGAGGCGGAGATCGAACCTGTGTGTACGGCGAAGCGCCTCCAAGCGCGGCGTTACACGCGCCCATATCTGTTGAAGGAAGTAGAAATCTCCCTGCGAGCCGATCAAGCATTATCTTCAACGTTTTTTCTGGTTCTATTTTTCCTCTGTCTCTAGGAGTTATCCGCTGGAATACTGTTTTATTCCTGTGCTGCTGCACCACACCAATGATGGGCAGAAATCTGTGGCCTCACCTACGCCTCCATTTGAGCATCATTACCTTTAATCTGTGAATACCAGCTGAAAACGCTATAGCCAGGTTATAAGACTTAGAATTCGTCGAAGTACTGCTTCACATATTTATACCTACTCTTAGCGTAGAGGTCATATTGTTTTATAGAAATGCAACAATTGGTAGAATTATGAAGTGCTTGTTACTCGCTTACCAGTAGCTCTTCACCATACCATCTAGGAATCGCGCTACTCATATGCGGCCGCTTCAGGTTATTGGAGGTTTGAAATAAACTCAGCTGAAAGAAAAACGCGTTCCAATGGACCTTCCTCTCATCTCCTGTGTGACAAACTACTGCGATGTCTTGCAATAGCTGCGATGGCTAGCTAGCGCAATGAGGATTATGGCAGCGAAATGTGGCTCTTAATTCTGTGGAATGTAATGGAAATCCTGACTAGTGCTCTTTTAACAATCGTGTTAATGGGGCAAATATTCTCATCTGAAACCAACCCACACGCAGGATTCAAAGATTTTCGTTGAATGTAGGTGCGAGAAGGCAAGAAGAATGGAAGCGTTGGGTTCAGCACAATACATAGCGTTCTGTCATGTAAATTAAAACAGTAATAGTACTTCATCACTGGGAAGTGTGTGAAATGATGATTGCTATTCAAGTGATTTCGATCTCTTCACACTCATCACCTCATTTTTCTTTTCTTCTTCAACTGTTTTCAAAAGCACATTTTCTTCTTGAAAACAACAAATGAAAGACGGATATTCGTCAGTTGCAGTCTTCTTCCGTTTCAAGCAGTACATCAGTTTCTCCAACCAGATTCTCACCGTTGTCGTTGTCTTCGTTGTTGTCTCCTGAATAATTTTATGCATTTATGGTTGTACTAAGAAGATGTGGTAGTTTGTTCGTTTGCTTGTCACTTTTTGAAGAAATAACTCATCATATCAACGAGATCAGATTAAGAGGGGAATCGAAGATCTATGACAAACTTTTCAAAACTGTCAGCATTGTCAGAATAAATGCTTTTGTAATCAATATCTATCGTTAAGCTGTCAGAGATACATGGAGAAAGTTATCATTTCTTCGTACTGCTGACTACTGTAAGTCATACCTATTTGTTCACATACTCGTAAACTAGTTTCAAGCTCGACCAATCGTGTTACCTTAAAAAAACACATTCATTCGGGAATAACGAGACTAGCCAAGAATTTTCCTAGTTATATTGATTACCAACCTCGTCCGGACTTTTCAACGGTGACTCATCCATCACCCAGTGTACTCCATCTGATCGAAGCACAATCTATTAGTTAACTTTAGATGAAAAATACATTTGATATTAGACTTTGTACTACGAATGTACATTGCTATAAATTAGTAGAAACAGTCATTCGGCTTCTTAACGAAATATCGATTTTTGGTGGTGCGCCACCACAACGCGTAATCACGAGTTCATTCAAATAATCAGTACCAAAGTTTTCCATTATCAATGCTGCGTGCGTGCCTTCGGATACGACACTGACCTTGTGGTTCGTTTGCTTATGAGCTGATTTAATAATAGTTGTAAATTGTTATATTTCAACAGATATGGTAAACGTGCGAAGAAAGGAGAGGTAATTCTCCACTTTCATTGATATGCTAACACGTGGATAAAAAACTTTATTCGGCTAGCGTTTCGGCACCTTCGCTTTTCCCAGAACCGGGGTGATCCGAAGCGACTGTCAACAGTTCCTTATTCTTCTAATGTGGGTCTTCGTTTATCACAGCATTAAGTCGAGCCCAGTTGAGCACAGCACGAATGAAGTAACTTCACTCGACAGTGCTCTTTTGTACAAAACGATTGTTGATACTGACTGTCCGTCTTTTATAACCGTTTATTTTTTATCGGGTAATGCATCCTATAAAAGGATAAAGCCTCTCGGCAGTGATCATTGATGCGCCATGCATTCGACTTCATTAAGCATCGTTAGAGGTGATTGAATGCATATCTGACCTTCACAATGACTCGCGGTGGCCTACCGATTTATCGAGCCAGTGCTGTTATCCTTCCAGACAAGTTTGGTACCATGGCCTACCGATTTATCGAGCCAGTGCTGTTATCCTTCCAGACAAGTTTGGTACCAATTTGCCGACCGCGGAGGGATGGAAGGCTTGGTGGGATATGGGCGCGGGGATCATTTCCACGTGTGTGTTGCAGGGCGCCTCCAACCACTGCGCCACACGGGCCATCCTATAGCTGTCGGTATCAGTATCGGATAGCACTAAGCATAACAACATTTGAAAAGGTGGAATGGAAAGCCGGTTCATAAGTTTTTTACCAGCCCAGTGTTAGGTTATCACTAAAAAAATACATGCCGATTAGGTATGCCGAGGCTAAAATAGTTTTGATTTTTGAAATGAGCCTCCACAGTTCCAGTACGATACACAAACCTGTCGAATGGCTGGCAGACTGAGATTTGTCTGTGTCGACCTGCTTACAGACTGCGCTAAGCGCCGATGTTTATTTTCTTCACAGCAACAGTGCTTCTAAACCATTTTGTTATCAAATGATCACCATTTTTATCTATTACAATACTGTTAACCAACGAACAATACGACGTGGAACTTGTAGGAAATTTTCATCGAGCTCTAATCGCTTGAATAACATCACGAATATCATACCTTTCCGATAAAGTCTTGTATTTCTTACTGGGTCCTGGTGATACAAGAGCACTCATTGGTAGGTAATTTCGGAGGTTTCTCTCGGTGTAGGAATGAAACTCACCTTCTTAATGACCCTCCCAAATGGCCTCCCATCTACTAACCAGTCACGATTAAGTGGGATTTTGCCAAATTCTTCATCTTACCTCATATAAAGAATAATTCTGAACATCATTCAGCGGCGAGACCAGTTCGAGTACGGCTTCCATAATGCTGTCGTCTTCAGTAACCGGTCCAGCTTCATAAGTTCTTTTCATCTGCAGATTTGTACAATCAGCTCAAATTTCTCCGATGTTCTACAACATTTCAGTGAAATAAAAAAAATAGAGCTCTCGGTATTTGACTTCATTAAGCATCGTTGGAGATCGAATGCGTATCTGACCTTCACAATGACTCGCGGTGGCCTACCGATTCATCGGGCCAGTGCTGCTATCCTCCCAAACAAGCCTGGTACCAATTTGCCGAACTCAGAAGGATGGAGGGCTTGGTGGGCCAGGTACACGGGGATCGATCCCGTGTGTGTGTTGCAGAGCGCCTCCGACCACTTCGCCACACGCGCCCTACGGCCGTATGAATAATCCTCCGTAGTATAGTGCTTAGTATTCTCGTCTGTCGAACATTTCAGTACTCATAGAAAATCAAACTTGAAAACCGAAACAGTTTGGAAAAGCACGAAATCAGTGTTGTCGAAGTCCTCATTTCTCATTCAGTACTGGTCGTCGTCCATGTTTCAAAATATTGTCAAAAATCAACCTTTTCTTCTCGTAGAAAAACTTCTGTTTATTTTGTTTCTTAGTTTTTTTTTGCAGCAAGCTTTTATTCCCAGTGTTCTGTTGAGGCTAATACTGTGTCATTAAAAAAGATAGCTATTGATCGCTTTCGGTGAATTTTTTTCTGACAGGAATCAATTCTATACCGATTCTTATCCATATAATAGGTAATATTGAATATTTTTTAATTATACGTTAAAAACAATTCATCTCAATACTGACTTGCCTTCGCTTGCAAAAGGTTGATAACCATCGATACTAATGAGAGACCAACAAGTATAAAACCGAACATAGTGATAAGAATACGTGGTGATGAGGGCACGAGATCGCCTAGTCCTATTGTGCTAAAAACTCAAAGGAAAACAGAAAATGAACGAAGTACTGTTCTTTCCACTAAAGTTTTTCTCCTTCTTCTCAAAAACTGACTAGGATTACCTTAACGATATGAAGAAGAAATAAAATGATTCCAACATTGTCCACTTCTGATCCCATACTGAGAACACCATCGAACAGAGTAAAATCTGCAATTAAGCGCTAGAAAACACAAAAATGTATGAATATTTTATCTGAATTGTTATCTCTAGGGTAGCTCCGTTAAGTTTTTCGATAATGCATGAGTACTAAAGGTGTACACGTAAGAGAGTACTCAATACTAAGTTTAAGTTATTAATATTTTAGTTGAATAACGGACTGGTTTCATACACACCTACAACCAATGGTTTACACATACATACATAGACAAACATATAGATAAACAGTTAGACAGACAGGTTCGCGTTATATATATATATATATATATATATATATATATTTATATATATGCGGACACGAATATGAATGCATCCAAAAATACGTAGGAGTAACTAGAGCCGGCATCACTTATACTAACTATACATGAGAAGGTTACGATATTTTCTTCGATGTACTCAACACTTTTATAGGCTTACTCCTGGCTGGGCTTCCAGAAGAGAATTCTGAACTCTTCACCTCCCCTCCCCCCTACTACTGCCATGCCTTCCACTCTACTCCTTCCATCAACACGCGAAGCCTGGTGTTTGGCGGCTCAACCGCTTGGGACGATACGTAGTTTCTAGCGGTGGTGGACTTATTGGTTTTATGACTATAAACGGTAACTGTTCGATAACTAGTGAAGTTGAGCGGATGTGAACATAAAAGTTTGTAGAGAACCCTATCGCTCTCTGGGCATGAATGGTGTGTATGTGAGCCACCATTTACCTTGTGTTACTGAAGTCCATCATGCAAGTATTACTAATGTTTTGAAGGATTTGGCAACTTCTGTTGGGTCTGGCTTTCAATTTCTACATCGCGCTTTGCGATCAGTCGTTTTGTCATTCCTAGTCTTGTTTTTGATTTCGCTTTTAGTATCGTCTCCTAATCAACTACTAGGAAGGCAGACCGAAGGAATCGCGGCCGGAAACATACTTCCCTCAGATTCACACCGTGATGAAGACCTGAAAATGCCCTTGCAGATCAAGTTAAGAATCTAGGGAAGATAAAGTGGCCCAATCAGCAGTAGGCCGGGTCGGAAACCTGCACACTGTGTGCTCTCGCCAATGTCGTCAGGCGGTGAAACGACCGGTAAGAGACCACAAAATCTAGGGTTATGCAGGACGTCACTGGAACCGGACCTAACACACGCATGACACGTTATGGAGATTGTTTCTTACTCTGCAATGCCAAAACACTCTTGGACTCCGATCTTTACGCCCTTCTTATAGCCACAGATCGCATCAAATTCCACATGATCACCAGTTGTTTTTCAGCCGAATTAGTCCAACAAGTACTGGAAGTTCCTTCTCAGCACGAGCAGCAGCACGTGCTCTGGCAATGGATGCGACTGGACACGCAGCGAGTTTTTGGGTAGCACCTGCAGACGCCTCTAGGGTGTCCAAATTCGACGCCTCTTGCAAAAGTTTCAAATCAAGTTTTACAACACACGGTTGCTACAATACCGCAGGCCCAGCGACGACCTCGTTTCCATGTTCTTTTCTTCTGCCTCTATCTTTCTTCAGTCTTAGATTATTCGGTGCTACTTTATTTCGTTTGTAGTACACCATATGTGCACTAGCCGGGTCGTAGTTCTTCGCTGGGTTCTAAACGCTCTAAGTGTGCCTTCGATATTGTTTTAAAGGCGTAATCGGACGGTTTTGCATCACGAATCTGCTCATGTCCTGGACGTGGCAATCTATGTACGCGAGGCATGTAACTGAATCTTGAATGTTTTATGCGCAGTGGCAACAGGTCTGAGAAATCTTTCTTTAGATTCAAGGAACTTAGAACTTATTGGAAAGTACGAACTAAGTGATCTGATAGATAAGCTTCCTAACACCGCTGTCCGTCGTTCGCCTGTTAGCGACCAGACTATCGTGGCCGTGTTGAGTATGCTTTTTGAAGTGGTCAGAAGTAGTGCTGCTTTCACCAAGGGTTTTCACGAGGCTAGTAGTACCAAAAAGTTGCGATTGCTAGTCCACAGTTATCCAATGCATTCAAACGGAGTGTGTAAACATGCAAGCCAAGTACTATTCTTGGTGTGGCAGCACAAAGAATTGCACGACGGATTCAAGAGAAGTGGTTTGAAAGAAGCAGATTTCTACTCGGGAACGGCGAGGGGTGATTCGACAACGTTGGTAAGGCCAATATCAAGTCAAGGAAAGCAGAAACCTGATCTGTTGGATGAAACGACAAGTGGCGAAGAAGAATATTGCGCGGTTACTGACTCACAGCATCGACGTCCCTTACACCATCAACAAATCGCTCCAGAAATTCAGAGCAGGTAAAGACGGAATGATAAATTTCTATCCCTACTTAACAATGGGACTCTTGTCATCCTCAAAAAAAAGGTCTGGTCACGAAATATCGGTGGTGTAGGTTTTGTTGGCCACCCGTCCCTTGTCCATCTTATCGACTTGTGCGGAATTCTTTCCATTCGCATGGCCGTCCATCTTCTTTAACCTCCGCGTCAAAGCATCAGCATCATCTTTTACTTACGAAGCTATGCAGCCGGTGAGCAGGAATTGAAAGCGTTTTACCACCATTTGGAGGAATTTGGCCGCAATGATAAAGCGTACTATAAATTTGTCGTTGGAGAGTTCAATGCCAGAGTAGGAAGGGCCAATGACAGCGAATACAGGGATGGAAAATTTGTATTAGAGGGTGGAACTGGTAGTGGAAACTATCTTGCAGGGCTCTGGTCTGCAGCACGCTTCTTCCAAGGAAATCCATTGTTCCAAAAGAAAAACCACGCTAGGCACTAGTGTCTCCTAACGGTGCGGCTCATGCGGAGATTATGATAAACAGAAGATGGTGCAGCAACATCCTGCTTTGCATCCTTCTTGATATATCCCATCGTTCTGTAATGGTTTTGATCATCGCCTTGCTCACACGAACATTCGATTCAGGCGTTTGCTGGGAAAGAACCCATGTCAACGACCACGAAGTAATAGTCCAGCTATGATGGCGAGAATACTTTGAACGAAATCCTGTCTCAACGTAACTGGCTGATTACGGAATACTTGACCGAAGAGTAGGAGCTGCTTGCTGAAGGGGTTAGATGTTGTGCCGAGTTCGCCTTATTTCCTCAATCAATAAAATCAGATAGCATTTTCAGTGCCACTAAGATAATGGTGGAGAAGACAAGGGAAACTGAAGCTTGATCGTACTGCAACACACTTAAGACTGCTTGTAATAAATGCCATTTGCAGATGAGCTTTGCAGAAAGATCTACATTCGTGCAAACAGAAGAAACTGTAAGAAGCAGCGTAATAGGGAAGCAGTCTTAAGAAATGCTGTCGGGATTTGTGTAAGCATAATTTCTCGGTGTCACTCCTAAAGAACGAGCATAGGGTCACTAAAACTTCTTGCCGATGGGTTTAATAACAGAAAAGCTCTACAGCAACTTTTCCTTTTCACAATCTCCTTCTAGGACACTAAAATTCTCGCTGGAGAGAAACTGTCGGAGGATCGAGTTATGATAGGAAGCATGGAAGGAGGCACGGCTCCAGGACCCGTTGATATCACCGCCGACTTCGTTAGGGTTAGAATCCACAATTTATTTGCATTTCATTCTCGCAACCCATATGACATCCTGTTTTCAAAAGGAAGAAAGGAAAGACGTCACGCGTTTTCATCGTGCGCACGAAATTTGACCGAATGGGTCTTCGTAGCTATCATTCCATGCGCTTGTTAAGTGTACTCTACAGGCTCCTCACAAAGATGATCCTGTCGTGTCCATAAAGGACACTGTACGAGGTACAACCAATGCAATAAGCAAGATTTCGACAGTGACGTTGCTGCATGGACCATATCCATGCCGCTTCCAAGGTCAAGGAAGTTTTTGGCAATACCACCTGCCCCTATAGCTGTAATTTTTTGGCTATGAAAAAGCGTTTCATGGCGTTGAAACGAACGCCATCCTATCGTCGCTCGTCGACTAAAGGAGTGGACTCGCCTTGGCTGTTATCCGGTGTTGCACCAGAGAAATATAGCGTTTCCTTCGTCCTCTTAAAGTGCCCATTCGAGTGCGCTTTCAGAAAAAAGTGGGACTAGGCATTGATCGGAAAAAGAATCTGTTTATGAAAACCCATGAGAAGAAGAACAGGTCAAAGTGGAAGGTCCTCTGATTGCAGAGTCCACCTCTTACGTGTACCTTGTTCTTTCAGTAAACATACAGAACAACGTGAAAGAGGGATTAGACAGAAGAAGTAGCCAGGGCAGCCTTTGAGCCTCTCAAAGACGCTACTAACCAAATGACGGACACAAAACTTCACGTCCACTTTTTCGGTTCAACACCCTTCTTAGCGCTCTGTTATGCAGCAGAGACTTGGGATAGTACTTCAAACATGTCATAAATACTGCCTACCACCCGTAGAGTGTTTGAACGATGTGTTTTGAAATGGAATCAGCACACAATATCTAGCTGGAATGCAATGCTCTGATCTTTGAAAACTATCTGATCGTCGAGATCAAGGGAAACACACATCGATAGCGAAGCAAAGATGGCTCAGTCAGATAGTGAGAACAAACGACAAACGGACCAAAAGAGCTGTTGAGTGGATTCCGCAAAAATGCAGGCATCTCCTAAAACGACCAACCCCGCAACAAAAATCAATCAACTGTACTCGTAGCTGCCGATATTTCTCAAACTGGCCCCAGAGCTCGAATCAAGCACCCATCCTCGACGACGAACGTGAGGAAAGGAAACGAATTGAAAATGAGCTGGAGTTTGCTCAACTACGAGCCGTCGAGCTATCCAACCGAGGACATTTTTATACCTCTACACTCATACAATATTTGTGTACACCCCGTCCGTTGTTTTAGGCACCGTAGAGGTGACTAAGTGCATAGTTGACATATATGATGACTTGGAGGTACCTACCGATATTTCAAACTAGTGTTCTTCATCCTTGTGGATCAGTGTGGTACATACAACAAATACAAGCAACCCATACATTCATATTACAGACATACATAAATACTTGAGCATAATGGAGTTAATGAATGTATAGCGACACACAATGATTGTATATTATACTAATGGCACTGTTTTTTTCAACTGGTGAAATCCTTACCCATCCAGCAATAAGCGAGACGCCGACCACAAGAGGTAAGTCGAAAATCTCGAGATCTTGACGTTTGTATATCTCGATTTCTCTTATCTCGTTTAACGAGTGCTTCGCAAAGCATCTTAAATGATATTAAGTTTTCTTATTGATTGCAAGTATTCGGAGACTGTGGATAAATAATGTTGCTGTTTACAATATTTTCTATATTTGTCTGTAATTTGTGGGAGCTTCAAATGGTCATTTGGAAAGAGTGGTTGAAGTATGTAACATTAAACAAATTCAACAATATCTTCATATCCATAGTTGTAATTTAATCTCTGTATCTTTGAAATGGACACTGACCTACGATGCCTGATCGATCGACAAGACACTTACTGAGTAAAATGGAGATGCCCGGCCAAACTCAAACGAAAGAAAGGTGCATCATTAAAGTTGTTCTACTGGTACAAAGAACTTCATCGAAACTGTGTGCTACGAATTCCTCATGTTATGCGGAAGCATAATAACAGAAGCATTCCGTGTTTTATGCTCTGTATATTTTCTTTATTCTAAGCATTTGGAAATCAAAAATATCTTTATTAATGTTAAATTAAACAGCCCTTCCAACGGTTTGCCGCTTCATCGTGGCTGGGAGATGTTCCTGGTCGTTGGGCTACGATGTATAGCAGAGAAATTTATTCCATTGCCAGCTCCTCCAAACCTAAGAAAGAGTCCGCCGCTTTCATTAGGAAGCACAGCTAAGAGTAAACCAGTACAATGATCCATTTCCGTCCTGGTTATCAATGTAGTCGCCTAATGGCTAATATTCCTTTGAGCCACAAGCCCGGCGACTACCTGTGATGATGACGAACTGAGGCAGACCTCGCCTAGGCCGACCTCGGGACTGCAGGGAAGCACAATGGCTAAACCAGCGAAACTCCGAAAAGCAGAATTTATGCTGGGGCCCGCACAAGCAGTGAAGACGGGCTATCCAAGCGTTAAAGTAAGGAAATTAAGCAACGTTTTTACAAAATGTCATGAACACTCCAGTTGCTACTGGTTTATTCCGTCAATTATGAAAAATTGTGACAATAAGACAATAGATCTCAAGATTGACTTTCTGTTAACCTCGGCATCGGATTATAAATGTGTCGTTCTCTTTTTCAGCAACCGCGAGGCTGTTATTCAGCACATCAGGACGATAGAGATATAGGAATAAAGTTCTTATCTAGCATTCTTCGTACCTCAGTGTTCTTCTCACGACTCGTTTCGTTTGAAACCATGGAAATTTCATCGCTATCGTGAAAAGCTTGCCAATATCTTGTAGAACTAATAACATTAATGGAATACCGAATAGAGCGAATATCATAGTGAGAATCTTTCCGATATTTGTCATTGGATAGACATGACCATAACCTGAATATTAGCTAAGTAACCAGGTGAATTTTAATTGGTGTTACTCCTAAGCCTACCAAAGGTTTACCATCTTATCGTGGCTGAGAGGTGTCCCTGGGTGTCAAGCTGATGCGATGTACAACGAGCGGATTTGTCCCCTTCGGAAGAGTGTCCCAAGCTGAGGAGTCCGCCGTTTCCATCAGGAAGCCTAGCTAAGAGTGAACCAATACCAGGAATCACCGCCGTACTAGTATGAAAATAGTCGCATGGTGGCAAATCTTCCTCTAATCCATGAGGGTGGCGATTGCCTGGAGTGTCGACGACCAGGGGCAGACTTTGGCTAGACTGACCTCGACTTTCTAGAGAATCACAATGGCCAAGCCAGCAAAACTCCGAAAAAATGTGAATTATGCTGGAGCCCCCACAACCAGTGAAGACAGGCCATCGAAGTATCCAAGTAAATGTGATAGTTCTGTGACCGCCTATTCTCGCAAAATACTGTACGTGACATAATCCCTACAATAAATACAATTTGTTGCCTCGACGTTTTGCACTTCTGAGTCCCAACACTTGAATCTAGTGCTCATTTTGGTCTATAATTACCTAATAAATTATAGTAGCTCACCGATTGTTGTGCAAATTGTGCCAGCAAATAACAGCGCTGTCCAAAAATCCCATTCCATTCTTTGCTCACTCCATCGAATCCCCAGTTGACGTTCGTATGACGCTAACTCTCTAAAGAAGTTGATTTATTGACATGCTTTTGTCTTCCTCTATAGGAAATTCCAACAGTGCGTCCATTTGTGACACACCAAGCCGGATACAACCTGCTCCAAGTGTTTCCATTCTTTATTAATTGAATGTTTTGGTGATTGAAATATACTATACTACGAAATTTTGTAACTAAAACTCACAAAAAATATAACTAAGACGTTAAAATTAGTTGGCTAATGGTTTAACCAATTTTAAAAACTTTTTTGTCCACTACGTTATTTGTGAAGACCATTGGAAGTGAAACATTGCGCTGATGTTTCGAAGAATGCCTCCAACGAAGAAAACTTTTACAGTATTGCAGATGAAAAGGTCAATAAGTAAGAAAATAAATCATTCCAGCTTATAACATCCGCATGTTGCAGGTTTTCTTTAAGCACATGTGTGTGGATATGCTTGAGCTCATTTGGATTACATCCCAGCACGTCTAACCAGATAAAATTCTGTAGCCGAGAAGAGTCTCGAAAGTACACTGGGGAGGTTCTGAATTAGTTGCAACAACTTAACGATAGCCCTACTTCGGAAACTTCGACAGGTTACGGTTGAATATAGTTGGCTCCCATAGCAGCGCCCAATGACCAACCACCAGTAGCTACTGACCAACAATAAAAAGTAATAGGATTTTTTAAGAAAATTGCTGCGCTTTTCATTTCTCTCCAGGGAGCGGAATGCACTGGGTCGTTTCTGGAATGCGACTGAGATGAATGAAGACTTTAATGGATACCGCTCTGAAGACTTGAAGATTAGCGAGCTTGTAGGTATTGTAGACAATTGCTCATCTACAATAGCTTATCAGATGCTAACTTCAAGGCTGGATATATCCACAAATATCTATTCACACTGTCTACAAGTGACCGCGGTAGTTATTTATTGATGGGAAGAACGAATCGCATCTTATATAGACCTCTTAATCAGGTGATAGGCGTTAGCCTTAATTAAAGTGTAGAATTCAATGTGCATATGTACAAGTAGAGTGAAAATATGGTTGAATGTATATAGGAAATGAAAGCGGTAAAAAAAAGCAGGGACAAGGAGCCGATCCCTATAATTAACATGTGCCATGGTTCGAGTAGAAGGCCGCTTGTCATGTGCGCTCAACCACCATTTGACGTTTAGAGTAGTCTTGTGAAACTTTGTGATTAACTGGTTAGCAGATGGGATAGATTTATTGAATAAGAACAATAACAACAATAATATTGCTGATTTTAACTTATTATTTACTGCCTACTCTTTTTAAAGGCTGGGTGTTTTGCGAAATATAACTTCAATGATGCTGAGTTATTTGCAAAACTTCGGATCGCAGGTGTTTGCGGTGGGGAAAGAACGCGCTATTGTCGTTTCCAGAGAGTAACGCGTTCACCATCACACCATGAAGGTTCTCCGTTTCGCCTGTCTCAGCTAGTTCTATCGATCCCTTCCATCAGCAATCATCAGCGGGATTGATCTGGGAGCCCAAATCGGCAATGAATCCAGTTAAGCTGAGGCTGTAGTTATAAATATAACTATTGTTGATATTGGTAATAGAAAACAAAAAGTAGCGATAATAATAATAACAGCAATACTAACCATCTTTGTTAAATACAACCACAACGTTGCTGAGATATTTGCAAAACTCTGGACCGCAGGTGTCTATGGTGGGGAACGAACGCGCTATTATCCTTTCCGGGGAGTAACGCGTTCACCACCACACCATGCGGATCCTTTGTTTCGCACGTCTCTCAGCTATTTCTATCGAT